TTCAGATCATCCAAGTCTTGGAGGAGGTTAAGTAAGGAGAAACATGAATTAAAGAAAACTGCTGCTAAAGAAAGTGTCTGAATAAGGTGCCATGGAAGAGAAAGGTTTAAATGAAGAGGCAATGGTCACTCTGTGGTAGGTGACAAGAAGGCTCACTGAAGAGGAAGGAACATCTCCACCTCCACACTCTGCAGTTAGCACATGGGATATATCTGGATGGGACAACTGAAAACTAAGGGGGGTGGGAAGAAAGGGCAGTGGTGGGTGGGGGAAGAAGTCAAGTGCAGGCGTTGGATGCTGTGCTGCTGGGTTTTAATGTAGTTCTCTTCAACTTTCCTGCTTTCCACCTGAGACAACTGCCTATATTGATAGAAAGGTTGCAAGGTTGCTATAGGGTTGCAGAGCTGATGCTAGAACAAGGCTTTAAATATATACTGTGGCACAAGAGTGGGTTGTGGTGGATGTGCTAGTTATGAGCATGTCAGGAGATGGGGAAATCAGTAAATCTGGTTCCACCATGTAAAATGTTTCAGTCATGACCATGAATAAGGTCCTGACCATGAAGGTCCTGAAGGATGAGTCCATCTTCTGAAATATTGTTATCTTAGTATTCCTGGCTTTAGTCATCTGCTAGGAATTTTTTATTTATTCTTTCTCTTCGGTTGTGGTACTTCTTACTTCTTTTGTGTGCAGAGAAAGTTCACAGTGGTCTCTTCAGCTAGAACTTAATGCTGTTTATAAAAGACTTCAGGGTGGTCACCTGCCTTGAGCATGAGTAGAAAGTGACCAGTTTGTCTCCAGGTTTGCTGGAACACTGCTGGAACACCAGGAATGAGAGTAAATGTAGTTTCTTTTTTCTTCTTCTTTTTTTTTTTTTTTTAAATTCTGTGTGCCTGTTACGAAAAAGAGGCAGCAGCAAGTGCTGTGTTAGGGCACAGCAAGCACTGTGTTAGGGCACAGGAAGTAAGTTCAAATGTAAGACATACATCTGAGAGCCAGTTGCATTTTCAATGGATTTATTGTTTTGATTTTTTGTAGTTTCAGTGATGGAATAAGGTTTTTCTAGTACTACCCATGGTTTTGTGGTACATTTTTCCAAGTTAAGATTTCCACCTTCATGCAAACCCTGCAGCAACAAGCATGGAAGAAAAGACTACCTCAGCTGTCAGTCCAGATGGCAATGTCATTGCTTGATAGTTCACATTCCCACAGCTGTAAATTGGTGAAAACTGGCCATCTATTAATTACACTAACATAAATGTTATAGAGTTTTAACTGTGTGTGTTGAAACATTCCTGTTACTGACAGGTGAAGCAGAGGTCCTAAATGAGCACTGTGCCAATATCATCAGAGTTCACTGAGTATCCTTCTTGTTTCTGGCACCAGAATGATGGTCATCTGAGGTTTTCTTGCTGTGCTCTCGGGGACTGTAGAGACCCGGATACAAAAGAAGCGGTTTGAAGTAGATGCACCACTACTACTAACCAGCTATAGGTTAAGCATCCCCTGAAGTCTTTGAATTGGGACCCTTGTTCTTTTGCTGCATTGTTTATCAGGTGGAGGTGCTTTGATATAAGTGAGTGGGAAGATTTCCAAAGATTTCTCTAAATTGCTTAGGGTAAAGGCAACATTTGTATTTTGCTTTGTAATTGAAAATCATCGTTTGAAGTTCTTGAGTGCAAGAAGTTTTCCATCTGTGTGCTGTGACACAGAGAAAGGAAAGCAGAGTTTCAGTGGCTGGTGAGGCAAGGGAGTAATGGTGTGGTGCTGTAGAGAAAGCTGATATGCTTACTGTCAGGAAGCAGTGAGGTTGGCAGCTCTTTCGGGGAAAGGAAACCAAGTAAAATGATACAGTCAGCAGGTCATAGACCCCACAAGCCAGGGTGCTACCCCACAGTACATGAACATGGCAAAGAGGGTAGGCCCCAAAATGGTGGCAAGGTTTAGCCAAGAACTGAGATCATCACACAAGCTTGTGGAGATAAGGCATGTCTGAGGTCAAGATGGGAAGTCAATCCACAGGTCAGGATCAGGTTGAGTGACAGTAAAAACCATCAGACACAAGCCAGTGAACGCCAGGCAGGATCATAGTGCAAGGCAAGGCCCCGTTGAGAAGATGGTCTGTGAGTCAGGGTCCAGATCACGGTGGACCATGATCAGGCATAGATGTGGCTGCAGATGAGCTGGAGACCAGTACAGCATCACATAGGCAGGGAGGGAAGGTCTAGGCTTGAGTCTAATGGAGCTGTGGGGTCTCTGGTGAGTGAGTGTGGGTAGAGGCCCCTGGTGAGCCTGGTTATGCACATTAGGGCCAATGAAGGCACTCAGTGGCCTTAAACTCAGTGCCCTCTATTTTATCTGTACTCTTTATCACCAAAGGGTTTTTGGACTTGTTACTTTAATTATGAAGTTAGGAACAGGTAGGCAGGTGCAGAAAGTACAACAGGAGTGTCTAGGTGCCTTTGGCTCAGGTAAATTGGCCCGGGTGGTCCATGTTGACCTCTATCCTACAGTATTTCAGCAATTTCAGTCTGTGAAGTGGGAGAGGTTATCTCAAGAATTAATTTTAATTTTTTATGTGCCACCTATAGCTCTCAGAATTTGATAAAAGGTATATAAAATAGGGGCTTCTGTCTGTGTTGTGGTAGAGAGTTTCTTTGTGCTCAGTGGTGGTGTTCAGGTGTGCTCAGTTAATCTGAGAGAAGAAGCAGAGGTGGGAGATAGCCTTACAGTCTACAAGGATGTAGTCTGGATAGCCACCAATCTTGCAGAGGTAAGCATAAGGGGTGGGGATGTTGTCCTTGTCCAGACACTGGCCGTTCCAGGTTTGCATCTCTCGGGAATGCAGGTTTCCAAGAAGCATGCTATGTGCATGACTCCAGGAGGGCACAGTGTTCTTTCCTGGGGGTAGCATATCCAAGTTAGACCATTTAGAGCAGTGCCATTTATATTGCTTTGAAATTAAACAGGCAAGTTATCTTTTCTGCCATATTCTAAAGGTGCTGTTGTCAAGTGCAATTGATATTTATTTTGAAAAGCAAGTTGCCTTTTTTTTTTTTTTCCTAGTGAAGACTCATGTGATAACTCTCAGGTTATTTCTGACTTACTTGAAGTTTTGTAAGCATTCTTAAATTCTTGCAGGAAGTAAGAACCACATAGGTTCACACAAACTGAATAGTTTCCAGTTTGCCCATACAGTGAGTTTTGTTCCTTTTTTTTTGAAGGAGAGGGGAAGAGCAATTCATCAAAAATGACTTAAATTTTCAGGATTTATATTTTCATTCTATAAGCAGATAAAAAATCCTAAAGAAATATATGAAGCAGAAGTGAACCTGTGACTACATAAACGTGTATAGCATCCTATCTCATCTTAGTTGCGTTGCTTATCTTTTCTCCAGATAAATCTGTGACCGCAACAGTCACTTCAATTAATTTTTTTTTTCTTCTCTTTTGCAATGGCTGGAAATATGATGCTAGATCAAATGGTAGTTTACAGTGTCTTGGGACAGGTGATGCCTGAAGCCATCTCTGTGCTCTGTGGAAAGGCTTTTGGTTTTTGAGTGTTTTGTTTCAGTTCATTTCTAGCATGCAGGTGTATATCGGTGTTAGGAAAGGATTAAGCAACCTACTAAGTTTTTATAGGGAACAGATGAGCAATTTGAGGCTTCTTTCAACCAGCTATAAATTCAAGCAAATGACCTAGCCTGAGGTAACCGAGGGATTTACCTGTGAACATGGTAGGAGAGCTGTTTGTTTGCATCTGAGTATGAAGAAATGCAAGCAAGGCGTAACTTTTCACCCATAAGATGTTATTCATTCCTTTGTGTTTTCAGGCCAATCAAATATTGATTGATGTATTGGTCTGTTGTGAGGCTCCTAGTGAATTTTGTCACAGGCAGAGTAGGTGTCTGGTATAAGCCAACTTTTTTTTTTTTTTTTTTTCCTGTGGTAAACAGCCACCAAAAGGGTTAGAACTGGTGCCAACAACCCAGCACTGGAAGCAGATGAGCTACACTACTTTAACCAGAGAAGGATAGAACTGTTGTGAATAATTTCACACGCACACACACACACACCCCACCAAAGAGAGTAAATATAAATTTCCAGGAAATAGAAGTTATAACGTGGAAGGCTTGGATTTGAGATGATCAGTTATATACTTAATATATATGTTTAAAAAGATATTAGATGTAAAGGAGATGTCAGTGGGTTTCACCTGCAAATGGAAAAGGTATTTTGCAGTGTCTGCAGAAATGTGTGTCCCCTACACAAAAGGACTGATTGAACAATGTAAACGGTTTTATTCTCAGAGCTGCAAACACTTGAATGGAGCAGAGGCATCAAGAATCATCTTCTTCTAAGGAAGCTCCACTGTAGTTGACGAGTGTGTAAAACCAGCAGGCTAGGAAGTATCAAGCTCATTATTTGGGCAGGGCTAGGAAGAGGGGAGTGAGCAAAAGATGATTAAAGTGACCAGCCTATTTAATGAGAGACTGAAGCTAATTACGCTGAGAACTCTCATTAAAGGCGTGGTGTGTGATTCCTTTTTCCTGTAGGCGTCTGAAGTGTTCGTGCAGAGGAGTTGGGATGTATCTGTCAGACATAGATTAAGCTCTCTTCTTGTGGCTTGGGTGTCAAACTAGCTATTACTCTTAGTTGTTTACTTCAAATTTTAGTCTTTACACTTTATTTTCTGCCCCTCTCCCCACTTTTTACCATTTGTGACTTTTTTTTTTCCTGCTCTCACTGTTGAGTTACTTTCCTTTTAGGCAACCGGAGGTGGTTGTTGCAAAAATGACCAAGGAAAATGCTTCTGTCTGTTGTAACTTGTTCTGTCAGTCTCCTGCAAGCTGCTGATCTCAACTTTACCTTGCTGGGTTGGGCTTCTAAGACAATTCTTTCATACTACCAAGTGGAAGTACTTAAAGCAAATGCAGCTTAAGAAAGTTTGATACTTATGTTTTAAGTTAAATATTAGCCAGATTTAAACAAGCTCAAGTGCATTTCAAAGTAAGACTAACTTGCTGGGCTGATAAGAAGCATCAAGCACCGAAGAATAGGCATGGGGATACTCTATTCAGAGGTATGTGACCATTTTCTGCACAGTATCTGAAGCTATTGGTGATAGAGAAATACACTTGGTTTGGTTTATTTCCAACCTCCCATAAACAGGCTTGTAAATTAGAAAATCTGTTTTTTCTAGGAATGCAAAATTTTTGCTGTTAAAAATTGACAAAAATAATCTTTGTAGCATTTTTTTTAAAGGATAGTAACTTGTGTAACTATTGTGACTTCACAGAAAAAGGTATGTATTAGATAAGCATTTTCTGGTGTTCTTTGTTGAGATCAAGGTGGTACATGTACAATTAAGAACTACAGATGACCTCCTTGGATAGTAAAGCTAATGCCCAAGGAAACAAGGACCCCTTGCTTGTTTCAGGAACTTAAATTTTTTACCTCTTGTCTTTATGAGTTAATTCCCAGACACTAATCTATTTAGCAAACCCTTCCATTTTAGTATAAATGTTACGTAAGAAATATTCATTATTTTATAAACTTTCCAATGGTGCAGTTGATAATAAATGAAGATTCTGAATCTTCTAGAGTGTGAATACAGTAGATGTCACTACTTTATCTGAAGATAGCATTATGACGCTGGTGCTTCAAAAGGTTATACTGAAAGCCACCCTTCTGTTTTTAAAAGAGTATTCAATGAAATCAAGTACCTTATCCTTTTTCAGTACTAAAGGGAGCTCACATCTCTGTAAGCTGATGGACTGGTTAGACAGCATTTCATTCTAAAAAGAATTGTTTCTTCTCCCAGATCTACTACTCTGAGTTGTTATTCTGTACTCGAGTATTGTCATTTAGCTTAATTAAAGTGTTTTTTAATTAGAGAAGGTTTAAATATTGTCCATATCTGTGATGCTTGTTAGTTAATAGTCTCATATTCATGAGTTTTCTTCCGGTAAAGTTTTTAAATTAGGTGTTATTTTCTATAATACTAAATGACAGTGATGAGTTCGATTTGCTGAATGGTATGCAGGATACTGGTGCAGTTCTCAACTTCCCAAGCATGATTTAGACTTCTGTGTCTAGTTTGAAGAGCACTTTTGAATGCATCTTAGTGCAGTGGAACAGACTGGAGTAGTTCAGAATATCTGGGCTTTATGCAGTTATTCTGTTTGGCTAAGCCAGCGCCAAGCTCTTGCGTAACTTCAGCAGTCCCTTGTATTTCTTGAAGGAGGAGGTCTCTGAGATGGCTGTCACAGTTCCAAGACCAGCTTTAACTCAGCCTCTCTTCTGGTGACTACATGCTTTGTCTCTAGTGTCATACCTTGAACTTTCATCTGAAGGGGGGTAGAACTTAGCAAATGTCTGGTGCTTGAATACTACTTCAAACAAGCAAAGCAGAAGGATATGCAAGAAACTCTGAAAACAGAGAAATTCAGATATGGCAGTTTATCTAGATCCAAGGAAACAACTAGGTCTTGTTTTGAATTACATTGCCCATAGTTTATAAAGAGAAACAGTTGTATAGAAGTGTTGTTATTGTGACATCCTGTGTTTTTCTGCTTTATCTCCTCATCTGGTGATTTCTGTACTGAGTGACTTTAGCAATGAAAATCCTTGCCTGTGCTATGATCGCTTCTTGCCTTTATTGAAGATACTGAACAATGAAATCCTCTCCTGGAAGGCTTGTGGGAGTATTTGTAGAATGAGAAATCCTAAACCATGGAGCTTATACTTTAAAAGTCAGTATTCAGATATTCTTAGAAGATCTGATTTGGTTGAGAAACACTCAGTCATCAGCATCTCTAATACTCAAGCCCTAATTTTGTGCTGATCCTATAGGCTCTTAAATGGCCTTGTGTCCATGGCTAGTTTTTCCTGTAATGGACTGGAAGGTTAATCTAGAATAGTTTGAAGTTGATGTATTTGAGTGCCCTGGGGCAGCTGCTTCTGAGCTGAGCCATGAGAGCTCATCATAGACATGTGTGCACAGAACTGTGTTTCAAGGAGCTCCTAGATCCCCCTTTCATCTCCCAGAACCAGTCTTCGGGGTCTGACCTTGGCTTGCTCCATTCTGGCGGAGCAGGCTGGCCTGAGGACCTTGGATTAGTTCATGGATACTGCCGGTCCTGTGGCAGGGCAAAGGCACTGCTGGTGAGAGCAGAAGGAGTTTGGGATGTGATCTTTTGTTTTCCCTCCCTTCCTTCGTACATTTTGTGCGGTGTTCACAGTGTGCAGCTTGTCCAACTGCAGAAGTGGAGGGCTCTACGGCTAGACAGTTCAAGGAGGCACTTGCTTCCTCTTTGCCTGAACTAGAATTCTTACTTTAGCTTCTCATTGCTTCAGATCTAAAGCTCTCATTTGTATTGCAGGTAGTATTTTATGCACCTATGCAACATCTCCCCTGCTGCGTTGTGGAGAAGGGCTAGGTCTTTTCTGAGTTTTTTGGAATGGTCAAGCCACTGGGAAGTCATGCCTAAAGTGGTATAGGCCAAAGTAGCCACTTTCCAGTGTGTTTCTGGGACTACTGATGTCTCCAGGGGTTGAGATCACTGTTGCTAGTGTGTCTGTAAAAGCAGCTCTCAAAGCTGCCAGACAGTTGTAACAGGCGTGTGAGATGCCTGCCCTTGTGGTCCCTCATTGCTCCACAGCTGAGCCCAATTCTGAGCTGTGAGGCTTGGATTCTCCTGATCCTGCATTCCTCGTGCCTATGAAGCCTAAGTAGCATGAGTATATATGAGGTAAGTTTATTTCCCTGGAGTGTGTGATGGATAGCTAATGAAATAATACAAATTGGAAGCTGGTTATTGAGTTAGGCCTCTAACACTGTAGAAAAGACTTTCAGATTTTATTAGGCTCCATGCTTTTCTGTAGGCATGTAGGAAATGTGTTTTCCAGGCTTTTATTTGGAATCCTTTGTGTCTAGAAAACACTGTCCAAACTTTAGGTGGAGGCAGTGTAATTGGCCTGACAGCTGGCATTCCATATACCACTGGCACTGCTCTGCGATTGTGTGTACGGAAGAAACTATTACTCACCTTCTGAACAAGATTTGGAGAATGTACTTAAAGCAGGAACTCTTAAACATTGATAGTTTTAATTTAAATAGATCTGCCAAAGTGGCAGCTCCAGAAAGTAGAAGGTAGAAGAGCAGCTTCTAGCAGAAGTTTTGAAAATTTCAAAGAACTTCTGTGATTACAAGTTTGAACATGAAATCTGTCAAATTTGTGTCTGATTTGCTGCTATTGGAGGCCTGTTTTGGAGCTTTATTCTGCACATGAATAGAAATCTCTTTCTAATTGTCATGCTAAGTTTGTACTTGGCCAGATGCATCAACTATTTTACAGGTGGTTGTCACCTCTTTGTATTTTTTAATATTTTAAATTATTATTTCCCAGCACATTTTCTCAGAAATCCTGAATGTTACTGGGATCAGACTAACATGGATTGTTTTGCACCCTTTCTTAACAACAGAGCTGCTGTTTGCTCCTCCAGTCATGGTATTCTCGGTGTTCTGTTCATCAATGTGGTAGATGTATCAAAGATGTTTTTCTAGAATGCAAACTAGGCGAGGATAAGAATCTTGTGTGACTTAAAAAGGAAAATCAGCTTACAGCTAGTACAGCTCTTGTATAATGTAAGAAATGTTATTTTTGGGGGTACTGGTGGCAGGCCAAAGAACATTGTCTTGTAGTCTAGATTTGGAGATCATATAACTAGATCTCAAATTCTACAAGAGTACATTAGTAACAAGTCAGGAAATGGCTGATAAGAAGAGGTTCTAATTTGGAGGAGACAGACAATTCCTGTTTGCCTCCTGAGTGGCCGTTGTGGGGGAAGCTGCCAAACTTTGTTCCTGCTAATTTGAGCAAGGAACAGAGTAGACACTAAAAGATTTGTGTTGTGTTTGAGTGTTGCTAGAGTAAAAGTGCCAGTGAAAATTTTTCAGGAACAAGTAAAACTTGTAGACAAGAAATCTTAGAAGTACTTTAGAGACCGCATGTCTGTAAAACCCCAAATGTGTGTTTTTCAGGACTAGGGAAACAATGGTGCTTAAATAGTTTTATTTTTCAGAAAAAAAAAAGGTGGGGGGGAGGTACTGGGGGAGAGTGTAGAAAACATGCAATTACAGATTTACCCCAGTGTTCCTGGCATATTTTTTAAGCAAAAAAGGCATGTTAACTCCTTAAGTTACTGGGTCTACTCAAAGGTTGCATTTGGCTTTGGGTGCCTCTTCTGAGTCATTGAACTAATGCGGTATTGCTGAAATTGAGAATGACCAGCACTGCTCTACTACTTGGCTGTGGAAGGTTAAATTTCCCTTATCCCTTTCATCTAAAAATCTAGCCTCTTCCAGTCACTAGCGAAAGATTTTGCACAGCACATCTTTTGAGGCTGATACATGTGTCTCAAGTTGCAAGCAAAGCAGGTAACGGGATAAGAAGTTTCTGTGCAATCTGTCTCTATATAAAGTCAAATTGCTTCTGTGCTTTTCCCTTGGATACCTTGTGGCTTGCATCCAAGAAGCTGTAGCAAACTGCAGGGGAAACCCTTACGTATGCATGAAGCACTTTATTCAGCAGCATTGCGAAACAAACTGGTTTATAAGAGTTTGTTATATGCAAGCAAGTTCTTGTTTTGCTCACTACTGAAGTTTATACCTTATTCTTGAACTTATTGTTCTCTGTAGCAGGAGACTTCAGTTAGCCCGTGTCAGTTGGGTGAGAACTTCTTCCTTGCGTTTTTTGTCTGGCATGTTTTCTTACACCAGCCAATTGCAGAGCATAAAAGGTCCTGGATGTATGACTCCCATGTACCTGTCTTGACGTGTTTGCAGGCCCAAATAATGTACTTTGTTCTTTGGACTAGTAATTGCTCTATCATTATTCACGGTTCTAGAACTAGATTCAACAGTGGGTTAAGATTTGGAAAAAGATGGTAAAGCTCAGAGAGAGGATCAGTCAGGGATGCCTTGGACATAATGGCCGAGCAAATAAATATTTCAGAGGCAGTATAGAAAGAAAAGCATGTCAGTATATTGCTTGGTGACACACTACTGAACTGGCAAGAACCAGACTGAGGAAGAGTAAAACAGTGTGGTAAACGGATGGAATTTGAGCAGATGTTCGGTCAAACGACAGACCTCCTGCGTTTTTAAATATAGCAAAGCAATATGCAAGAAAAAGAGTAGTAGGGCAATCAGAAGCACAAATAGATTCTGCAGAGCAAATATGTTGCACTTGATCTTCTCTTTCCTGGAAATGAAGGTCTTGCGCCTTGGAGCAGTCAAGACCTCAGTTCTTAGTGCCTACTGCTTTTCTTACTGAAAAATCTAATTTTCTTGCCTTTTTTAAAAATTTATTTTTATGGCTGAGTATGACAGGACTTACTGCTTGGATTATAGAAACCTTATCCTAAACAAATAGATAGTTCATTTTTGCTGTGTTAAAGCTGTGTCAGACTTCTGCAGTCTATACTGAGAGGTGCTGTGTTACAGCTACAGGAGCATCTCTTACCACCATCTTCTGGGAGTTGCCTAGAATTACAGCCTCAGACAGAAGTGCTTGGCAGTTTCTTGGGGTGTGTAACTAAGAAATCTATACCCTCCATTCAGACTTACTACTACAGTGATTGTTTTAATTGAATGTTTTCTTTCTTCTTCAGCCCATTTGCCAGGCAGCTTATAATAATGATTTCAATGAAGTTCAGCTCCTTTTGGAGAAAAACAGCAACTATCTGAACATCCAGGACAGATTTGATGGAGATACGCCCTTGATTTGTGCATGCAAACGGGGCAACAGCAGAATAGTTAGCTATCTTCTACAAAGAAATGCTGATGTCAACCTCAGAAACAAGGTAAGTGGCCACAGATTTATCCTTTGCAATGGCTGTTCTTTGAGATTTCTGGAGTGTAAGGGAACCTTGGTAGCACTGCCAAGCCTGAGTTTTGCCTCCAACTGGTGCCTGAGTCTAATCCCCAAATCATACCTCTGTAAACCTATATGTTTTCATTTATCTCCTCATTTATTTTTCAAACTTGACAATTAACATAAAATAATAACCTGACCTGAATTCAGTGACCTGAATTTCTCCTTGTGCTCATGTCCCCATTTTGGGTAATACTGTGTGCCACTCAGGTTCTTGCCTTTCCTCAGCCCTGTGGGTTCTGTCCACTCACCTAGGAACTGCACAGAAAGGCTTCTGTGTTTGTTTTGGTCTGTAATGTGACACAGTAACCTGATTTCACAAACTCCAGTGAGCAGTAGTTGCTGGAGATTTAACAGGATATGCCACAATCTTCTTTAAATCTTTGTTTCAGTAACTGGTACTCCTGTAACAGAAGGAACTCTGGGATTCTTCCTGTTGATTTAACTTGCTGGGCAGGAATGAAATATGAAATTTTCTCTCTGATGCCATTCTGTCTGCAGCCAAGTCTAATTTGGAGACATACAGTTGGAATCCTTTGGATTCCACATACTTCTTTCATGTGGAAATCAGTTGTCATGAGCATGTGTATGTTAAACATGCTTCTATTTGAAGGAGTAAAAGTATAGTATCTGAGGAAAGAAAAGGAAAGTTTATGTATCAGTTACTGTTGCAGATTAGAGAATGTTTCTAGCAGATAACTTCGGAGAAAGCTTATGAAATACAAAAGAATCTGATATTGTCAATGCTAATCAAATATAATCAGTTCAGTGAATCTGATACTGATCAAAGAGTTCTTCTGTATTTAGAAGGAGCGCACTTGCCTGCATTATGCTGTGAGAAAACGGTTTAGTTTCCTTGACTATGTGCTCATCGTCATCCTCATGCCGGTTATGCTTATTGGATATCTTCTCATGGTGAGTCTGGGTGAAATCAGAACTTCTCACCCCATACTTTTCCCTTTTCCCTTATCACCTGTCCTGCAGTATTTCAGGGCAGGAATCCATGGAGTAGATGGATCCTTCTTTTTAAAACAAGGACTGATGCAGAACAGCAGAAGAAGCAGAGATTTTGTTCTTGAAGAAACTGATGTAGGGTTAAAATTCTGATGAAGAAGCTAGACACTTCCTTTTGGAAAAAAAAATGAGGGAAAAACATCTACTTCATACTAGATGAATATTAACTGTCTCACTATGTTATTCTCTTCCCCTTGAACCAAACAGATCTCAAAAACTAAGCAGAATGAAAACCTAATTAAGATGTTGCTGAGGGCGGGTGCTGACGTTAATGCTGCAGATTTCGTAAGTAGATTTGTACAAATGCACATGTAGCTTGTAGCTGCTATGAATGCAACATTATTAAAACCAAACATCACTATCTGCTAGCAATGTATTCCTGCTATTCAGGATAGTATCAGGTAATGAATTGGTTTTAACGTAGCAGACTGCCTAGCAGGAGGGTTCAGTCTTTTCCCCTGCATTTAGTATATAGTTTTGTAATGTGCGCAGTTCTAATTCTTTCCTGATAGCTCAGGGCTGTGTGGTGGGTTTTTTGTTGTTGTTGTTGTTCAAGCTTAGCATTTTTCTTAGCTCTGGAGTCTGCTCAACAATTCCAAACTCAGCAAGTGAAAACCAGCATGACAGTGCTGGATATGCACTTCGACATTAGAATGTGATTTCAGTGTTAACTTTTTCATTGCTGTGATGGCCTTTTCAACCTGTGAGATCCTCCTTCAGAGGAAGGAGGCAAGATGGATCGTATGTTGAAATGACTTCTAGCTCTGTTTTCATCACTGAGGTGAAACATTTGTAAACACTGACAAATCTGGGGGGAATGTTCCCAGGTGACTTCATCTGGAGAGACATGATTCTCTGGATCTACAATAAACATCAGTTCTGCCGGTTTCTTTCTGACCAATATCCTCTTAAAAGAATCCAAGCCAACGCAGTTGAAACACCTTTAAAAAAAATGATTCTGTAAAGGTTCTACTTCCTGCAAGTGTCCAAGTTTATCACCCTTATGAATTCTTGACCTAGAGTGGATTTGTGGACGAAGGTCATGCCAGTGTTACTTTGTGTTTTCACTTGGTCTTCAGAGCGCACTGGTCTGCCACATATAGTGCCTGTATCCACGAGCATACTTGGATGTGGTAGAGAACTTCTTCCCTCTAAGGCAGAAAAGGAGAAACTGATTCTAGCATCAGTCAAATTCTAAACCACTTAAGTGTGAGCAAACAATATTGTGTAACACATAATTGTTGAGATAATAATTATGGAATCCTCTGAAATTACTAAAGACCTATTGGCTTACTGCTAAAGGGACCAGGCCTATTTTAGCAGCTGTGTCCTGAAGTACGAATGATTCTTTGTCCCTGGTGCTCTTATGAGAATGCATTTGTTTTTCTTTGTGTGGTGTACCTAAAATCATACTTGCCTAAAGTCTACTTAAGATGTAGTAGAAATAAAGTGTATCTGCTCTGTTTCTTTTCAGTCTGGTAGCACAGCCCTTCACTATGCTTGTGAAATGAAAAACCTGGCAGTTGTTTCTTTATTGCTTGAAGCTCACGCAGACCCTTCTGTTAAGAATCAGGTAAGAAGGTGAAGGTGATAGCTATATTTCCACTATGAAGATGGCAAACCAATATGTTACAGGCCTTACTTTAGTGTGCCACGTGTTTTTTTTTAAACAAATAAGCAAACAAATACCCACAAGGGTCTACTGCTTCATGGCAGCAGGCTTGTTTGCTGTAAAGCAGCAGCCCCACTGCCTACCTTGGCAGCAACATCTTTAAAGTCTGAGTCCTTCACTACTGGTCTTCCGTTGGTAAAGGCTGCCTTGATGCCACTGCATTGGCAGATCTCTCAGCTGTCTTGATGGTGCCTCTTAATTCAGAGCTGCTCACTCTACAGCTTTTCTTGAGAGACTGGCAACGGAGGGGTAATAGTACTAGTCCTCTGAAATGTGCTAAGTCAAACTTCTGTTATTGGCCAAGATCATCTGTTGAATGCTGTCCAAAGGAACATTGACCCGGGAGTGTCTGCATTGCTCAGCTGAGATGAGTCATGTTTTTTCCACATTACTCTTGAAGTCAGCTCTTAACTTTGCACTCTTTGGATATTAACCCCAGGAATGGCTATCACTGCTGTTGCTACTGGGACAAAAGGCTCTGCCTGCTGATTTCAATGAGAGTGGTATTAGACCTAGCACATTCTGAAACCTTTGTTTCAGAGCTACAGTGTGGCAATGAAAATCTTGCAGGAAAGTCTTTCATTTCAGTGACAAATTCAGGGAAGCTCTTTTTACTTGATCCATGTCTGTCACATTGCAATATATTTCATCTGTTTCTTTCAGGAGGGGGAGACTCCCCTGGATATAGCGAGAAGATTACAGTTCAGCAACATTGAAAGCATGCTGAAGAAAACTTCTTAGTGCTTGATGATATGCGATCAAGGGCTCTGGAACAGGAAAAAACATTATCCAATCTGGCAATCTGTCTTGCACAGCAGCAGCAGGAGTCCTGCTATAGGCTGATATATTTGTCAGATGCCTTGTCCAAATCCATCCGCTCTTTGCTGTGGACTCTGACTGCTTTGTGTGTTGGAGAGCTGTCAGTGTTCCAAGGCCATTTGGCTGGAAGCTGTTCGTTTGCTTTTATTAAGCCTTGAATGTTTACAATAATATTCAAGATATTGTCCCTCCCATCTCCTCACCCAGTTTTATTGTTTGACTTGCACAGACTGTGGATTTTGAAAGCTAGCTATACTATTTTTGGAAACCTAGCAATTGCACATCATGATTGGCAGCCAATGCAAAAATAAAATTTCATTTATAGCAAGTGTTTTAGTTTTTCTATAGGAGATATGCTTGACAATTGAACATGGTGCCCCAACACCTTATGCAGGATCTTGTACCTTTTCTCTTACTATTTTTCCTACTGCTTCTTAGCACTTTCTCCTTCTGCTGCAAGTTTCACACATCTCAATTACTTCTCACTAGATTGTTGCCAGGGAAGGATTTTTTTTTAATATAAGAAGCAGTAAGAAGAGATTGAATGAATTGTTGGTGATCACAAAGAAAGCCAGTTCCCAGGTCCCTTTCATGCATTAAAAAGTAATAATTAAAACATTTTTTTGGCTCAGAAGTCAGACTCCAAGAGTTTTCCAACGTAAATAATGTGCTAACAAAGGGAGGGGAAAAAAAGTGGCAGTATATGAAATGCTATTGGTGGGAGCCAGATGCATCATACCCAGGAGACTGGACAGTACAGACTGCTTTTCAGAGTAGTGAGTACAGCAGGCAGTGCATATGCCAAAATAATAAGATCTTTCAGGTGCCTTTTCTTGCACAGAAAAAAGGAAGAAGAAAACATGCAGTGGTAGGCAGTGTATTAAGGTGGCCTAGTAGTTTCTAATTTTAGTAATGTAGCAGTAAAGAGGACTTGAAAGGGGAACCCTTTCAAATGCTTTCAGATCTCCTTTCAGCTTTTTTTCCTTGATCTATTGAATCTTTATTTTTGCTGATAGTTTTGGCCATTTCGACCATTTTTGGCCAAGCTGCCATAGGTTCAAAGGCTAGATGTCATGATCTACACTGTAGAAGTCTGCTAGACCAGGTGCATGGACAAGGTGGTACATTTTCTGTATTGTGAAAGACAGATGCATTTTGTGAGTGTCACCATGGTGTTGGATACTGACTTCAACTGTAAGAAGTCTTGGTTCCTCCCTATGGATTTGAGGCCCTACCCATATCACTTCTTACAACATTTACCTGTCTGGACTTGTAATAAGGAGTACTTTGGGTGTAACTTGGGGACAGGCCCTCAACTACAGGCCCTCACCCTACTCATCTACAAGGTGATCAATGTGAGGTATTTACATAGGTAGTGAAGAAACTGTCTCTTTGGGTTAGTGACCAACTACTTTCCCATGCTGCAGAAATTCCTTGAAGAATAAATAGACAAGATTGGCTTTGACATTTACATAACCCTATATCTTGGACAGCTTGTAACAATTTCACTGCCAGTGTCAAGAAAAATTTCTCAGGTGCTGTGGTGCTTGGAGTGCAGCTTGCCTGAGGGATCTGCCTTTCTGCATTCTCTAGCTGCCAGGCCATGAGCACAATCCATCTGTGGTTTCCTTATTTGGGGGTGCAGAGGGCATAGAAAAACATTTGATAGATATTTGGGTATAAAAGGCAGGAGAATATTTGGATTTGTTCAACAAAAAAGGTTAACTTTTTCAAGGTTGGATTCCTTAGCTTTGGAACCTACCTATTCCATGCTCAGATTCCTGTGACTAAAGGTCTCTTCGTTGTCTTGACAGTGTTGGTAGATGTGAGGAAAAAACAATGATAGGCTGTGGTCTTTGTCAAATTGATTTAATTTAAACAAAAGTCATCAGTACTTTAACAGAGAAATGAGAGAAATACATTTTTGCATTTTTATGTGATAGTATATTTCTATGAGGTACATAAAATGTACAAGAGAAGAACAGGGCTTAGGAGTTGGAAAATCAGTCTTGTAGAGGTAAAAGCTGTCCAAATTAAGTGATCCCTGAAGTGTGTGCTGAAATAATTTCATGTTTTCAGCAGCCATGCCTATATTATCAAACTCATTTGAAAGACACCATTTGCTGTACTGTATCACTGTGGAAAACCAAAAACTATTAAAAATCCAAGAAAATACACATCGGTATAGGCAATTCCCAATTCAAATATCCAGTGTGTGTACTTATCTATTCCTCAGAAATCACCCTTATTGCTAAACAGAAATATTTGGCAGCATTACTGGATGGATTGACACTGCATATGGTTTCAAAGATACTTTGTCATTAGTTGAAGGATTTTTGAGTACATTTTCTTAGTTGCGTCAAGGCCCCAGATGAAATCTAGGTGTCCCCAGTCAGGAAAATTGTCATAGTGAATGAGGTTTTTGATGCGAGGAAGTAGACTTGCTATGTCTTTTGGATCTGCAAACTTGTCATCTCCACCACTCCAAACAGCAATTGGTGTGTTAATCTTCTCTATCTCATATGCAGGAGGAGTGGACTAGAAGGAAGGAAGCAGACTTGACGTGAATGTTGTTCTGCCAAAAATTGCTTTTGGGGAAAAGATTCTGTGCAATCATCTCTGCTTCCCTCCCTTCTCCCCTCCCTCACTACAGGAAAATAGTCGGGACCAAGCCTGCCCTCTCAGTGATTATTCC